AAAAGTGACGCATTGAATTTCCCATTTTCACCAGGCCTGACAACTTTGCCAAATAAAATAAAAAATAAAAAATAAAATTGAGTTTTCATATATGTTCAGGGGGGCAAAAATGCAGTCAAAGGGGGCTAAAAATAATAAGAAGAAGAATAGGTAAGAAGAATTCTAGCAGTTTCAATAGGGACCTCCAGCGGTCACTGGCTCGGTCCCTAAAAATAGGGCTGATGGATGAGCAGTTGACTTGTCCTGAAAAGGCACACTGGGGACAGGAGGGCTGGTCAGCTGGGTGGGACCTGGTACTTTGCCAGTGTTGTGTTGAAGTCTGTTTCTTCAAAGACTGTAGTTTCCCTTACCATAACCTCTACCCGACCTTCACTCAAACATCAACCAGTCATCACTAAGACCCTTAAAACCCTAACATTAGTCAGCCCTGGGCTGAAGACTCCCAGTTTGAAAATGAAAGAATGGAGGTATGGACTTCCAGTGTGAAGAAAAAGTACTCTTACGGACAAAGACAAGCTGCTGCAAGAGGACTGGAACTGACCGTGGAGTCTAACCGGTTGTCTTTGGCTCAAATCATGAATCCAATCAGATTCTTTACTATCTGTCTTGCACATAACCACCACAATGTGATCTGAGAGTGCGAGGTGAAGTCCTGCTGGATGATCCTGCGAAAGACCCTCTGTTCTCCGCCGTACAGCAGGTGACAGCGGACACTGCAGCTTTTAAGGGTGAAAGGGCTTGCTGTCTCCGGGGAGAAAAGCGATTTGGAGATTTTGGTTACTCAGCTGCAGCTGGCGGCGCGCAATAACACAAAATCAGAGAGAGGTACTCAAACTGTGACATCAGCAGCCAGCAATGTGCTGGCTTCCATCAGCAGAGAGAAAAATCTCAGAGGTTAGGCTACTGACAGAAAGTACATGTCTAACCGCGTATGTGTGTGTGAGCCAGTGTGTTTGTGTGTTTGGATGCATGCAGCCAAAGCATTCCTTTGACAGCAATTTGACCGAACTTGATACCATCTCTGTCTGGTTCACTGTGACTGCCCACCCCACCTCTGACTCCCCTTGCCCTGCGTTCTCGTGTGGCGGCAGTAATACCCCAGAAGACAGAGTGCTGTGTTGCGTCTGTAATTACACAGGAAGGCCAGCTCTCTTTGAGCTCTGGATTAGCAACTCTCTTTGTGTTTCACTCAGAAGGGGGGGTTGCAAAGGCAGCCAGAGGTATCGCTCACAAGCTCAGTACAAAGTGTGCGGTTTTTCCCTCCTCTTTTTTTTGTCCTCTGTGCTGCCTTCCTCTAAAGTTTGACAGACGTCTTGGAGATATCACGATACGAAAGAGACAGGAAGGCAGCCCTGGACATTCAATTCCTCCATCACCAGTCTGCATGCCTGCCTGCCTGCCTGCCTGTCTGATGTTTTAGTCTCTAGTTTAAGTTCACTTTATTCTATTGAGCCTTAAACACAAAACGCTTTGAGATAAAGAGATGAAAGGTTAAAAGAAAAGAGAAGAAAAACAGAATTAGAAAAACTAAATATGTCAGTGTATGTCTCATTTTGAACAACAACAAAAAATCTTAAAATGTCCAGTAACATCTAGGGGATGTTGAAAACGGGTGTTTAACTTTATTGGTCCAGAAGCAGAAAAAATAATTTATCTTTATTAGCTTATCGATTTGAACAGACTAAATACATGGGAATTAATCCATAATGATAACTACATACTTACTCTCAGACCTCCACCTAGGAGGCAGCTCACTGAGGAGTGATGGTTCGAATTTGTAATTCTGCATCAAAATTACATTGTCAAAACCAAGCCTACTTTAAACAATGCAGCTCCACTGCCAACAGTTTGAGTGTCAAAAATTCTAACAAAGCCAGACCCATAGATGTATTAAGGGAGAACTGGTTACAGTGTTGGTGGCAGGCTCTGTTATGGAAACTAGTTAGTGGTGCATGAAGCCAAAGAAGTTACTACAAATTATGCGATCTTCCACACTGTGCGGCCCGACGAGCAAGAGCACCAGAAACCTCCTCCGGCCGAACTGCCAACTTAAGTTAGTTCTGTCAGACAACTCAGGTTTGAAGTGTTTATTATAGCAGTATAGCATATTTAGATTTTGGCGTCTAGGCTCCAGCCTCATTCCCCGCAGATATTTTTACATAGAGATATTGGGGAGTGATGAGCAAATACCTTAACCCCCTAGTCGGAGCCTAAAGGTGGATGCTGGCAGCAATACAGATACAGGGCAACAGCGACAGAGCAGAGGGAGAGCTGGGAAATGTTGCAGTTTAAATAGACCACCAGATTGGAAGGGTGCGCTTGGTTAATGATTATGGAGTGATGCAAGTCATGTGTGTATAGCAGCGCAGCTCAAGTTGACGGCCTGAACTAGCTAGCAGGCTTTGCTCCATTTCAGCCCTCTGCTAACTTGAATGGAAATAAAATTATTTAATCCCGCTGCTTTTCTTGTGGGTTGTGACACTCAAACAAACGTATCCACCATTTTAGATACGTTTCTTTCACCATGACAAGCTCATGGGAAAAAAGATCATTTTTAAGTCCTGCCCAATTGAATAGAATAGATTAGCTATTTAGGTAGCTATCGTTTTGCTGACATTATCTAGCCATCAGTATATCAATATAAATATCTATCAGATATATATATATATATATGATTAGCCATAACATTGTGAGCACTGACTGGTGAAGTAAATAACACTGATTATCTGGTTATCATGGCTCCTGTCAGTGGGTGGGATATTTTAGGCAGCAAGTGAA